GTAGGGACCAATACTCGAAGAAGCAGCTCACTCACCCAAAAGCCCTGGTCACACAAAACCTTCCCTAATTGAAAAAACAAGTCTCAATCTAAAAACTGACATCTCAGCACAATTTGGTTAACAGCTCAAAAGGTTTTGTTTTTGTCCCAATGCAGAACATAACCTAGCTCCATAACCTCTATTGAAATTTACATATGAATGAAAGCTCAGATAACAGAAAACTGGAGTCAGACTGTTAAGTTTAAAATCTCTGCATGCAGATGTCTAATTAGTGTCTTGGAAATCATTAGTTCTATGAAATACTTCCAAAAGGACTGAATAAAATGCTCAGTCAACATTTATTTAAAACACTTTTAAAGGAGGAACAAAAAAATGTGTACACCCTGAGTGAATAAGGGAAATGAACTAGGTTTCCTCACCTTTTGAAGACAGCTGTTTCAGTTTTAGAATCTACAGTAAGGCTCAGTGTTTCCTTCATGCTGCCATTCATTACTGTCTCAGTTACCTTGTCTGCATTTTCCACATCATCTTCTCCATCTGAGCTGGCCTCCATAGCAACACTTCCTTGGGCTGATACAGTGAAACAAATTAGGATATTGCTAATGATTTTTATAGTTAATGAGCAAGTACAAATCAGTGAGGATGTGTAGGAGGATAATGTCTACTGTAATCATACATAATCTCCCTGTAGTTTTGTTTACTTAACAAATCCCACATGGCAGGTAAAATATCAATTTTCTGCATCCTCAGCTCTCTCTCTCCCTCTCTCTGTGTGTGTGTATTATATTATATATAAATAATACACACACACACACACACACACACACACACTCAAATATTTTAAAATATTTAATAGCTACTGAAGAAAACATACATGTTTCATAATAATCTTTTCATTTTCCAAATCAATTAGCAATGTAGATAATTTGCAGCAGCTACAGATCGTAGTTCGGGCTTGTCCACACAGGGAAATTTACTGATATAACTCCCCATTTTGACACTTATTCTGGAACAAGAGTATTCACATGGGGAGTTATACTGGTATTATCATACTGGTACAGGTCTCCTGGTAAGTTTCTGACGTAGACAAGCCCATAGTTAGGTCTGAAGATCCCGGACTTCCAGCACTTGTTATGTTCGTTAACAATGCAATTGGGAAGTGGGGTAACATGGGTTTGATCTGGTAATTTTTAATCAACTTTGACCATGTGTTGGAAAAGCTAGATGACAGGAGGGAGAGAAGGGCACACAGACTGTTCACTGCTGCATCCAAAGACTCAAGATGCTAAAGGCCATCTTAATTAACTAAAGCTCTGCCCAAGTCTCACTGACTAATAAAAAGTAAAGCTAATATTAACACTAATAGCTTGCTTTTATACAGTGCTTTTCTTCCATGGATCTCAAAACTCGTTTCAGAAGAGGTCAGTATCCTTACCCTCAGTTTACCAATGGGGGTACAGAGGTGCTAAGAGGGGAAATGACTTGCCCAAGATCTCCCAGGAAGCCCGTGGTAGAACCAGGAAGTCCAATGCGCTACTCATTTAAGCCACTCTGCTTCTAAGTTATTCGTTTGCACATAATTTGAGTAATTTCAGTGCACTTACCCTCTGGCTGTGTTGCAAGTGCAGATACATTTGCACTCAGGGGATCCATTGGTTCTGTGTTTGTTTCCATTTCCACAGGAGAATTACTTCTTAAAGACTCTTTCGAACTTAAATACAAATGAAAGTGAATTACATTTTGGAAAAAGATTTCTAAACATTAAAATGAAATTTGCTCACATGCAACCAGAACCTTTTAAAATAATGTTTCTATTTCTGTGAATACTATCTACTCCAGAATCCTACTGAAATCAACTATACTAAAACTCATCCAAGAAATGTTAAAGGAATTTTAAGGATGCAAAGTCAAGCACTAAAAAGTTAGGAAAAGCCAGAATTAAGATTTCCTGGTTTACTATCATGAAGAGTGTGCGCGTGTGTGAGAGAGGGGGGCATTGGATAAAAAGGACAAGCCTAATTTTTTTGCCCCTTGCAGTTTCCTTTTAAATATATTTTCAGCTATATGTTGTCCCTTTCAAGGTAATGGTATCTGGGCAAGAGGGTTGCTCAATCTCTATATCCAAATCAAACCAATGCCATCCCTGCCAACGAGGTTGATCAATCACAAAGGTGGTCTTTATAACATGGAGGCTTGGCCATTGGTATCTGGATTAAGTTCTCAAAATGTATACATCCCACAGAACCCCAGACACCACATTTCTGCCACTTCCAATCTGAAATAATTGTAAATGATTTCTTGCCCTGATTCAGCAAAAATATCACTATTCATGAAAGCATGCTTTTAAGTCCCATAAAAGGCAATGCTCCGTGCAGGATAGCAGTCCACCCACATGCTATCAACTGAAGAATTAGGGTCTCATTTTGAAGTGAATTTGAAACAATAGTGGGTTCATTCCTTTACTATTCCAAGGGCACAAGATGCAATTTACACAGTAGGGACTGGGATCCCAAAACTGCAGCAGAAACCTTGAAATTATGCAGCATTGTTCATTTTTACTTCCAAGCAGTCCAGGTCAGACAATATCCCTTGTGTTATTTAATTTGATATTAAATTCAATTTATTGTACATTGCCCCCAAATTTTCAATTTTGAAATGTGCTGTAGATTTTGGTACTGTTAATGTTTAATTGCATTGCAGAAGCTACAGGAAATAATACAGATATTGGCAGGTAGGTAAGGAACAGTTTTTGGTTTTGTTACCTATTAAATAGTTGGACACTTGTTACAGAGAGGGAATACATCTCTTTCCCATCATCTATGAGCAGAGTTCATTTTAAATTTGGGAGGGCAGTTTGAATTACTTGGTCCTCACACCAGTAATTCTTGACAAGCTAGCTGCCAATTGCACCCTGCCCCCATTTCGGGCATTGCATTGAAGAGCTGTAATGGTGACATTTGAAATAATACGAGACTTCATTATAACAACCCAATGGAGATGAATGGTGCAGTTCACATCTCTTGGACCAGTTGCTTCAGGGCAGCTGCAGACTCAGGCAGACATCACTGCATCTGTTTAATTGATTTATATTCTGAATATTATCTTCACCAACCATGCAGGCAAGAGACTAAAGGCATGGTTTACACTACAAAGTTAGGTCAACCCAGCTAACCCTGAGCAACGCAGTTAAGCTGACCTAACCCCAAGTGTAGCTAACAATCTGTCAATGGAAAAATTCTTCCATCAACCTAGCTGCCACCCCTCTCAGTGAGGTGCATTACCTATGCAGACGGGAGAAGCTGTTGCTGTAGGCAGTGTCTACGCTGAAGTGCTACAGCAGGGCAGCTGTTGGCTGCAACTGTGCTGCTGTAGTGTTTCAAGTATAGACCAGCCCTAAATAAAAAAGTACATTCTGGAGCACAATAATTTGGCAATTTTTTAAAGATTCACATTTATGGGGATATTTACATGGCTACAATCCCATTATACCTAGGGCTCTGACTATTTCTGATGTAAACCAATACACAGCAAAAAAGTGCCAAGCACTTCAAAGTACTATGGGACTGTCTAAGCAAGTCACCATGGGCTTCATGGAGTGGATAGATTTTTCAGACATATACAAAACTTTTCTTTTTACATCACAAAACAGAGCCATCAGAGTCTTTCAATTTATTTCACATTAAACAGCTGCATGTGTCACTTAGGCCCAATCTACAGCCATAGTCCACTTATTTAAAAAAAAAAAAAGGCATAAAAAAATAAAGTGTGGCTAGGACTCAAACATCCTAGCAATCAACCAAATTGATTAGCAAGATATGTATGATTAGATACCATCTACACCAGAAATGGACCGTATCTGGGTCTCCTGAGTAGATTATAGTTGTAGAGTAGATGACACCCTTACGCACAATATACCTTTCAACTCCACAAAAAATCCCCAACAACATGGTACAGCAAACTACAAGTAACACTAATTATGTTTAAAGCAGAACTCCATAATGTATTATGCAAACACTTCTGCAAAAGACATGCATATGCCCACTGAAAGGGACTAGTACCAGCTTCCATTATCATTGGCAGCTGGTAGCCTGGGCTGAAGAATAATAAAATTATTTTACCTTAAAGAAGATGTAAACTCTGAAAAAGAAGCCCAGCCAGTTTCTTTTCCTGGCATAGGTTCTTCTGTGCTCCATACATCAGACCCAACAGAATCCAAATTGGTACCATGTGCAGTTTCCATAGGTACGTCAAAGTTAGCTGACCAGTTCGGTGCTAGAAACAGTGACAATTTCAATGATAAGATATTTAGAAATTGATATAATTCACTTTTCTTAATACGTTATGACTCTATACCTGCACATATAGCTATCCTGAAACACTGCAAACTCCCTAATTGTAATAGGGGCTTACATAATGTACATATAAAAGAATATACACTATGCAAAGTTAGAAAATGAATGCAATTCACAAGTACAAAATTAATTTGGTCTATGAAGCTAGAGCAAAATATCACTATAACTCATGGCATTCTGCAATCAAGCCAATCTACCAAATTACACTTAATTTAAAATAATTTAATGGAGTTACACCAGGGATTAATATAGTCACCATTTTACAGAAAAAATATGTATTTGTTACTGTCAACACCTGTTTCTAAAAATGAAAGTTCTTTAAAACTGAGTGTTGTTCTCACGGTTTAGCTTCTGTTTACTAGGTGTGTTTTTCTTAGCTTCAACAAAGAAAATAAATTAATCAGTTCACTAGCACAGTGCTGCAAAAAAACAAATGAGGACTTAACATTTTAAAATTCTTCCCATTTTGAAAATAGGTGTCTAACTTAGAGTACTCATTCAAGGTACTTCATCTTCCCATAAGCAAATATTTGTTTTCATTAGTATTTACATACATAAAACAGGCTGAAAAGGAAGCTCTGTGACTAACTAAAATGTTAATAGGAAATCCCAGTCTAGACAGATATGGGAAGATATCCACAAGGATCAAAACTTTGAGACACAGATGCCAGGGACACCAATCTGACAAAAGGAAAAAAGAGAAAAAACCCTCATTTTATTTTGTTTTTATAATTCCTTATAATCAATATAAAAAACGCTTAGGATTTTTCTACACACAGAAGTTGCACTGGTTTAATTTAAATCAGTTTTATTAAACCAGTGCAACTTGTATGTGTGGACTCTCAATTTAAAAGAGGTTATATCGGTTTAGCTTGCACCTGTGAATTTACTGATGCGACCCAAACTGACCTAAGCCATGTTTAAACTGATATGATTATCTACAAACAAAATTGCACCACTTTTACTAAATCAGTATAAAATAAAGTCGTGCCCTTTAGTAAAACAGGTACAACTGTGTGTTCAGACCAGGCTTAAGAACCCCTAGAAGTCTAATGCCTTAAAACATTAACTGTCTTTATCTACTGCCCAAGTCACTTGTTGGCTCCTGTGTAAAACTATTAAAAAAGAACCAGCATGGAGTAAAAGTTTGTCTGAAACGGGTACATATTTTCTGCTCACAGTCAAATTTTTATTTTCACTAGTTTTAGTGAAGATATCAAATGGTTTAGACTGATGGTCTCCAAAGCTTTTATCAGTTTTAAACAGATTCAAACTTGTTTAAAACTACTCATCCCTTTTGGAGGAAAAACAATTTCTTTAAAAAAACCCAAACCCATTTTATAAATGGGAATGTTTTCACCTCCTAGCTCACAGAGAGCCTACACAATCAGGTGTCTGACTCAGCCAGGCACCTGAGGTGCTCAGACTTGACAACACTCACATCCTGCTATGAGGACTTTATTCAGAAAATCTCTTTTTGCAAAGGTGAGATATTAAACTTCAGGGACCTCAATAAAGTGGTAAGGAAGACAAAATTGAACTATGCTCTACCACTTAACTGAATGACCATTACATTTTCCCACACTGATAACTTGCAATCTAATTCCTCCATCAGGTAATCTAAGCAGATGGAGGCAGTAGGATAAAAACCACCTACGTTCATTTAAGTCCACTTCCATTTTGTCTTCTGTATTAGTATTTGATTCAAACAAGTCTTGTTTTGTTCCATCCTCTTCTTCAGAGTCTGTACTTTCTTCACTGTCCGTACTGCCCGAGCTTCAAAAAAATATAAAGGGATTGTTTACATTCAATACTTAGAAGGAATTCCCTGGGGTGCATTGGCTAGTGAAGTTTTCCCAAGATTAAAACAGAACTGCAAATCAAGTTAGCATGTAGGAATGAGGCAAGTCTGACCATAAACACTGAGGGATCAGCTGGAACTACACTGCAGCATTAGCTATTAAACTTACTCTTCAGCACTGCCAGAAAGGATGAAGATTTTAGGGTGTTTTTTGACTTGACAAAGTTAACTGACCCATCTCCTCTCCCACAGCAACAAGGGAAAGGAAAGATGGCTGCCACTGCCCTCATGCAAGGGTAAATAGGAAAGTGGAGGGAGTATAGCTACGGGCCAGGCCAAACAACAACAGGCAAAAAAGCAGAGATGGACTTCATTTGCTCCACATGGGCTGCTGCAAATGCCAGAGGAAGCCCAGAAGTAGTCCTAAGGAGAGCAGAGCAACAGCTTCCCCACTCCTCCTCCCTTCCAGACGGACATCCAGGTTGTTCCTTCACTTCTGCATGGACATCAGAGCATTGATAACCTGGCCCTATACACATTCCTAAATGCAGCAGCAACATAATGGTCTGGCACATAAATTCCTGGTCACAGGTATTTGCAAGTGGAGGGAGAACTGACAACAGGGTATATGGTGCTATTGAGCAAAGGTCAGAGGAGACATTCCAAAGGGATCCCTGAAAGGAAATTCTGGATGACAGTAGAAAGCTGAAGGGGCAGTGGAAGCACCGGGGACAACAGATTCCCCTCAACCTGCTCTTTGAAAAAAAATCTCCATTACTGCAGCACAAGGAGGGGGACCCTGGCACTATAGAGCCTGAGTACACTAGCCTCCTGCTGGTGTAGCATGCTGAAGGGAAGGCAGGCTGCTTGGGCTGGACAGCTCAGTGCCTCTGAAAATCATAACCAGGAGGACGACTGCGGAGGTTTGGCCCAAGAGGCAGTGGAGGAAAGGAGCAAGGATGGAAGAAAAAAGGAAAGCTGAAGAAGTGCTGAGTAGCAAAGAGGGCTGATGCCTAAACCTCTTACAGAGGCAGAAGATTGGAAGGGACAGGTGCTGGGCATATCCTCTAATAAGTTAACCAAGAACAGCAGCAACTACTCAATTTGTCTCTGAATTCTCTTTGTTACGCAGGCTTTCCAAGCAGTCAAGAATCTGCATCAACAGATGTACTCAGTGAGAACAGTGAGGTTCTTCTGTAGTACAAATTGGATGGAAAACAAACACTATTCACCTGGATCGTCTCTGGGATTCCGGTGTAAACGCAATGTGTTTTTCTTCCCATATATCTTCTTCATCAGAACCACCATCATCAAACTGCTGTATTCTCTCCTTACAGCATGCCTCAAACAATGCAATATTCCCCTACAGCAGAACACAAAGCAAAAATATGAACGGGGTAAAGACCATTCACAAACTGTACACTACCCCTTATTTCTATGGTTAAACAATTTTAATATAGTCTCAGAAAAGGATAAAGGTGCATATAAGGAGACCACACTATATCCCATGAATGAGATATGCACCCAGATCTGGATTAATCAGCTTTGACTAAGTTTTCTATGAGGACAGTTCAGAAAACTCTGCCTGACAGGGGTGCCTGTTTTACCATTTCCTGCTCCCTCCCTGGGCATAGCTAAAGAACATCTCAACGTTTTCGTGACTTTTTCCCATTGTGGATTCTCTCTCCGCTCACTGCACCAAAGAATGCTCCAGATTTTTGGGGGGAGTGGTGGGAGGTTAAAGGGAGAGGCACATACACTCAAGGAGGGAGAGGTTAGCACACCAGAGAAACGTTTTCTGGGGAAAGATCTTTACACTTCTGTCCCCTTATTCCTTTTACCTTGCTGGCTAAGACCATACTTTGCATTTTGGTGGAAGATTGAGCAGCTACTACCCACACACTTTAAACTGAATAAGCAAACAACACAGACCCAGAGAATGAGATCTGAGTCTATTCCTGAATCTGAGGGCTTGTCTACCCAGTGCAGCAATATGCACTAGAGCAGTGTGATTTCTAAAATACATAGACTCATAGACTTTAAGGTCAGAAGGGACCATTATGATCATCTGGTCTGACCC